ATGTAAAACGAGCTTTATGAAATATTAATTATAATTGCTTAATCCGGTTCAGATAGAATTACAGTGTACAAGGGATTCATTTTTAAATTTACCAGTCTTTGAGAACATTTATTTTAAAAAACGAACATCAAACTGTGAACAATTTTAAAATTTTCAGCAGACATATTTTTGTAACAAAGCCTAAAATTAATATAAATATTATATTGAAAAGCCCCCAAAAATATTGTTGAATTTTATCAAAATAACTAAAATCATGATTCTTTGTTAAAACATTCAATTTCGTCAAATGTCTATAGATAAAATTGTGTTTTATATTATTATATTTATGGTTTTCAGTAATAACTACTCATGAGGAACTTATCAAAGTTTTAAAATTAAAAATGATCTATTTTGACGTATTTTTTCGTCAAAATATGAATTTCAAACTCTTACTAAAAATAACGTGCAAATGTATTTTTAATAATTTAAAATTGCTGGAAGAATATCTTAAGCGTGAGATCTTTTATTACGCTTATCCATCCCCACTACTCTCATCGCGACGACGTACTACGACGACGACGTACGATGATTGACGATTGCGACGGCGTGGTCTCTAGGATGTCTCTAGGATTGAAGGCAACGAAAGATGTGCATTAACTTGTTAAAAAGTTAATTTAACTTAACTAGTTAGTTATTTTTAATTTGAACTTATTAATTTATTTAGTTAACATTTTTATTGTTGCAACTTAACTTTTTATAGTTAATTATAATTGTTGTGTAGTTTAGTTTATTTTATTTTCATGTCATGCACAATCAACTAGGTTCCTAGACAAAACTGATTCGTTGACTCTTTTTTGATTTTTTTGATTTATTTTCTAATTATATATTATAATAATCTAATTTTTTACACAGCGTTAAACGTCTTAACAAAATACTAGAACAGATTATGACTTAAAAAAAACTTTTTTTAACTGAGTTCAGTTAATTTTATTTTCTATCTTAACTTTAAACTTATCTAGTTAAATTTTTTATTTTGCTAACCTTTAACTTAACTGAAGGCAAGAAAATTGAATTAACTTATCTCTCCACAGTAAATTATTTTCATTAACTTGCCCACCTTTGCCGGCAACCATATTACCATTACACGTGTATTGGTGACGACCAGCAAGATATGATATAGATATAGGTATTATCTTAAATCGTGCTGACGACTCAACGATTGTGATTGTTTAGTGCATTCGTGTCCAGCTCGACGGTATTATATTATTATGCTGAAAACTTGGTACAATTTTAATAATAAAATAAACAATCTGGTGATTAATTCATTACCCGTGGCAACAATCTATGACTCAAGTCTCAAGCCCATTATTACACATCAATTATTAAACATAATAATAAAATATGGGTTAGATGTAACGATAAGTCTATAAGTATGGAACGCTGGCCTCGTGGTGGAAAAGATGTTTTCATTATAGTTTTAGAAAAAAATATATAACAACAGGAGGCCAACGGTGCATGTTATATGGATTATTATTATTATTATTATATACAGTCAAATAAAATCGCGAATTATTTCATAAAAAAAAGCTGATATCACACCAAAAACACTTCGTTATAACTCCGTGTAAAAAAAAACTAAGTTAAAAAAAAATGCATTTAGTAATGATTAAATCTTTGAAAGACGTGATATAATATGGAAACTAATTACAATGCCATTTTATAATATTACAAATACCTATGATGACAAATAAGATCAACTGTAATGTTAAATACTTAGTCAACATATTGTTTAACTATTGGGCGTACGACGTAGAAGTATACTTAAATAAATACAATTAAGTAACCACTACAGTATTTTTCGTAATTAATAATGTGTATAAACAATAATAATAATATGTTGGCTAAGTATTTAACATTACAATTGATCTTATTTGTCATCATAGGTATTTTTAATATTATAAAATGGTAAATTAAATTAGTTTCCTTGTTATATTATCACGTCTTTTAAAGATTTAATTATTACTAAGTTTTTTTTTTTAACTTAACATTTTTTTACACGGAGTTATAACGAAGTGATTTTGGTGTGATACGACATACTCGGTGTTTAATTCTTATTTATTTCGAGAATAAATATTTACATATTACCCTGCGTATCCCCCCCCCCAACCGACCATGTTTGCTCGACAACTCCGCCGGCGTCACTGCAAAAACTAGAAAGCGTACCCGCTGCAGGTGGTACGGTGTATATAATTTAAGCACAAGTGAAGTTCGACATTCGTATCGTATATCATTATAGGGTAGGTACTTATAATATTATGTAGTACCTATGTTTATTTTGGAAGTACGATCTTCTCTCGGCGAAACAATAATAAATTACCGAAACAACCATGAGGGCTTATTTAAATATCTGACGAATGTCGTGATGAGTAATGACTCGAACATAATTACAAATGAACATATATTGCACGTTGGCTCCGGGGCTCGGCCAAACGCTATTTATAATATATTTATACCTATCTATAATCTATGTATAATAATAAATACGTGAATGTACTGCCACGGTGAAAACATAATAATATAATACACAAGCATAAGCTGACGTAAGGTTTAGTCGAATCAGAATATTTTCAGTCAGCCAAAACCAAATTTTTGGATACATGTTTTCCGTATATTAATTTTTACTCACCTTACGTTTTAATTTATTACGCCCGTTTGATGTTTATTAACTTTTCCGCATAATTTATTTCGTTATCAGTAGGCTCGTACCCATGAGCGATAATAATATCATGTGTAAGCATGTATATATGCATGTGGCTTTTATTTAACGAGCTTCAGCACTCTTAAGATAAATACAGTACCTATGTATTAAAATTGAAAACAAAATCGGTGTTCACGTCTCTTTGAGAATTTCAAGTCGTGTGGATGATGTACGATATAGTCACGCGTACGATATTAGAGAAGATTGACATTTAAATTTCAAGTATTACGCCTATACGACTATGTTGCAAATGTATAATTTGTGCTCATCGTGTGCATATTTCGTTGTGATGTGTTAATAATACGACTTTAAAGTCTGCTGAAAGACTTCCGAAATAGCGATTATTTCAAGCACAATTTAAAAGCACTTAATAAACCCCTTTCAAAAATTTTATTTTTAAAATAATTAATAGTTTTAAACTTTCAACACAGTATTTTAAACCTTTTTAGACTCTTGAGTTGAATTTATTAGTGGTAAATAATAAACCTCACAATGTTTTATTTTCTAATTTTGGTCTTGGAGTGCATCAATTTGGAAACGGTGAAAGTGCACAATTGAGATATCACTTTTAATTTTATCCAGACATACAATTATTATTATTATTTATATTATCATTTACTACTCGACTTACGATGATTTTTTCATGAATTAACATAAATAAATTGCCTTCAAAACAATGGACTTTTATGTAAAATATTAATTTTTTTATCGTTTAATTGGGCGAGGTGAGTAAAAATGTATTGTTTTGAATAGTGTCAATAAAAAATTAAAAACTTCAGATTTTTTGGTTTCATAAACATTGTTGTTTCATGGGGTATTGTAAAATAACGGTTTTCAATTACGATTAAATAAAGCAGTTTTATTGTATTTTATTTTGTTGACGATGGATGATTTATTAAAATTTAATATTCGTCAGTTATATATAAAAAAAAAAAGTTGGCTGTGTTTTATGAAACAGTTTTTATATGAATATTGCATTCTCAGTGTGAATTATAATGGAAGTCTGACTATTTACCTAAGAAATTGCAGTCAAGAAATAGATCAAAGTAACTCTATTAAAATCATAATATATCTTCTATAGAATATAATACGACGTATTATTCTCATTGATAATTTTATTTCAGTGGCAATAGTAACATAGCTTACCGCAGTAATTAGATAATTATAATATACATCTTATCTCCTACTGCAGTGACATGCGTTCACTTTAGTTGCTTAAACGATATCCGAGCGTAGTGCCTATACTGTTAAAAGTACTTAAATGATTGTAAATATATAGGTATTATTATTGACGTGAATACTTTTTTCCTCTATTCACTCACTGAACGTCGAACAAAACTGATATAACACTGCCGATGCTCATAAATTATACGTATATCAACGTATGCGATTTAATCGATTCGACGTGTGACGGGGGTACCTCATCTATATATCAAATGGGTCGTCACTCAAACTGGGTCTGGACAGGGGGAGGGGGGTCGCTAGTATAAATTGAGAGGAGAAATAACCAGAATGCTCATCGATATGGGGATTAGAAAACCATCAGATCGGATGTTCTCTGGAAGTGATAGGCTGCGATACTTTTGAAATGTACTACACATTCCGGTTCTATTTAAATTAGTTAAAAAAGAAATCATGTGACATGGTTTGTACGCCTGAAAAATGTATTTGCAAAAACGACATGTTTCCCTGCAGATGACACCAGTGGATATAAAACACGACTAAAATCATTTTTAATAATAATATTATATGTATATGGGTGGTCGTTTTCTTGTATGACGGATAATTTTGGGCTACAGTACACTTTTGGAGGAATAGTGTTTCGAAAAATTGCAAGTGTTACATCCAATGCAGATACTTAAATATTTAACATGCTTATACATTCTATAACATACTCACCGATTACAATGTACTTATACATTGAATTTATAGCTAAGTGTTAAAACATTCAAAGCCCATTTCCTCTTCCTCCCACCACAAACGATATCCGTGAACATATTTTATATGCGTATTTGTAAGACAGTTTTCGAAATTTGGATACAACATTTGCTCCGGTTAATTTGAGTACCACCCATTTCCCCGTGTCACCGGCCTCTGCGCCCCCTACAGGTTCTATTTATTTGACAAGCTATACATATAGTATTTATTGTCAAATAAATAACTCACTTACAACGAAAGTTTGCACGGATATCGTTCGCAGGGGTGGTTGTTGGAGGGGTGAGGGGAGGACACGACGGGCATGCAATAGTCATGCGAAATTTACCGTTGACCACGTGCACGTTGATGGTGGCTGATTGTCCAAACGTGGGCATGCACGTGTAGTTTCCTGAGTCGGCGAGCTTGGCCCGGGCTATGTGCAGCGTGCTCTTGAGACCGTCCACCCATTCGGTGTGAACGCTGACCCTCGGTTGCCGGATCGACTGGAGGCTTGCCTGGTCCGTGAACACCGGCACGTTACCCAGGTACCAGAATATGGTACCCAGGTCGTGTGGTCCCTGGCTCAGCTCACACCGCATGCTCACCTCGCCGTCCTCGTTGACGTACAGCTCCGGCGGTCCGGAAATCCAGGCCCTCATCTCTGCGAATCAAGACGCGCGAGCTCGATCAATGACAGTGCCGACGATTACATAAGAATATGAAGACGCGCGTGGCACACAACGAAGTGTGTCGTCATGGGCAAATCAATATACAACATTTAAACTAAATTACAATATTGTCGTGATAAAAATCGGTTGCTAATTACTCAATTTTCGATTACCAAAAAGAGCTGCATTCAATGGTAATACGGGTACGTACATAATACGTATCTCGGTTCACCGAGAGAATATGATTATTTCGAGCATTTGACTGCGAACAAGGAGTGGGGATACGACTCGTTGACGCTTTTTGGTTTTGGCGCAACCACATTCTCTCAGCAAACGGAGTATGTACTTTCAACTTATTATACATCATTCTAATATAACTATGACTATATATTTACTACATATCTATATATATCTTATTTGTCAACTTGAAACTAAGTAATACCAAAAATGATGTATGCTCATACATACTTTTGCAGGAAAGACTTGATTAAATCATTTATATTTAAATAAATATTAAAAAAAATAATTAATTGATAATATATATCTACGTGCTTGAATTTTTAGTTATAAAATCTATTTTTACCTAACCTAACCTCCTTGCTTTGCAGCAATACCAATAAACCTTATGTACAAATAATAATACTAATGGTTTTCTCAAGTCTTTTTGTCGTTTACATAATATAATATTACGGTAGTATTAATAATAATAATATTTTGAATTGTTTAAATTTTAACTATATTAAAAAAATATTAATGCTTTCATGGATTAGACTTTATTTTAATAAAATTGTTGGTTCGTTCTGTAATTGGTGGATACAACTATTGTACTATGAGGATTTTATTGATTTCAAACTTGAGATTTTTGTCTTCACATTGGTTTTTTCATTACTACTAAATTTAATACGATCCTTTTCAGAAAATTAATTATTAAAATAAATCCACGATACCAACTACCGCCTTTGGTTTCTATAGTAAACAAAATTGTTGATTATCGAGAAGCTTGAAAAATTCTGTTTTTAAAGTTTTTGTCGGACTTCCGATCGTTGTTTGATAATGGATAATGATATATAGGTACAAGACTACATAATAATATATTATTGTTCACGGGGAGAAGAGTATTTTTTTTATTTCGAATCCCATCACACAATCGTCTGGAGCAGTGGCGTACCCAGGATTTTAGAACTGTGGGTCTGCCTTACTTACGAGAGGCCACTGTGTAGAAACTTCAACCAACTACCTATATAGTTAGGTATTACAAAGTCACTCTGGGCTCGCGATTTACCTTATTAGTTATTTACATCACATTTTGATACCAACGTTCAATATAACTATATCACATATTTTTAAGTAAATTGTAAAATTTACTTATACAAGCTTTAATAACTATATTTAATTTATTTTTATTTTTATTTGTTGCATTAAAATTTATATTCAATTAAAAAATTTACCTGACATATTTAAATCATTAGAAGAAATTATACAAATTTATTATTTTATTTGTATACGTATATTTGCAGTATATTTATTTTATTTTAGTTTTCAATGACTGATTTCATTTTCACAAGAGATATAGAATAGGTGGTTCTAAATTCTAATACAATAGAAAAGTCAAAAATAATACATTAATAAAATTTATATTTAATAATACCTACATGAAAATAATAGTAAAGAACTAAAACATTACAATCATTTTCTGCGCTTTTTCATTAGTGCGAATTATGTACTATATTATGTACTAATTATGTTAACAAAATCAATGGTTTGAGCTATGTTGCTTTCTATGCTCAATATGGCCAAATTTGATAGCCGGTATTCAGTCATAGTTGAGCTAAGGCATGTTTTGAGAAGTTTTAGAACGCTAAAACTTCTTTCTGCAGTTGCACTGCTGACTGGTATAGTGTATAAACAATTTTATACAAAGTATATAAATTTGGATATGAAGAAACCATGTCTCGTGATATCATGAATTTTCAATACATCATTTAATTTTAAAGGTCCAGTTACTCCAGTTTCAATAGTTTTGCCATTTGTTGGTAAACTAGATGTAATGAACGGTATTCCACTTCTATATCAATTTCATCTATGTCAACTTCATAAAATCTTATATAATATCTATATCCAACATATTTTTATACTTGTGTTTATCGAATTTTAGGTACGTACATTATAAGTTGATAAGCTTAAACACGATTTCGTACGCGTTATTTTACTTCAATACTCAGTCTTCACAGCTCAACAGCTGTATATACGATATACTCCTATATAATAATAGCAGATCTTCGATATTTTGAAGGGGGGGCACATATAAATTGTATAATTTTAATTTTAATTAATAATACATACACACTATCAATAATGATTATAATAAGTAATAATTAATAGTTGGTAGTATTATCCTTATCAACTGTATGTTTCATTTATATGATACTCGTAGTTACATAACAACTTGTCGACAGAAAATTGACAAGGGGCACGTGCCTCTCCTCTAAATTCACCACTGTACATAATTTTTTCAAATAAAAAAATGTTTATATAGTTTGCCATTTCGAGGGGCCACATTTAACTGGGAAAACAACTGTGGGTCAGCTGACCTCCCAAAACCCCCCCTGGGTCCGCCCCTGGTCTGGAGTTTGAGAAAGATTGATTTGCAACATTTTATGACATTTATAGCTTTATTAATTTGTTGCCATGAAGTATTGTTGTCTAGTCAAAAATGATCTGTGGCAGGTTGTGAAACTATACAGTAGCTGGTAATTACGGCACCGATGTATGAGATAATAATAATATAACAATGCAGACTCTACGTTATATTGTAGGCACAGTACAGCTCGGAGACTCGCTTGAGACGTATTTCATTAGTCGAAGACGTCCATCGGAAATCAGCAATTTTAATGACTTTATTATAGAGGTTATCTTATAATAATATAAGTTTCGTTCAAAGTTTACAGTCGGTCGTTAGCGCTCGGTTAAGCCAATAATTCGATTTTATCGTCGAGACACAATTATAATAATACAACGACGGTCACGTCTATAATATTACGGTTAATTTATCGGGTTATTACATTTTATTAAGAAACACTTCTCTCAATGTTCTTACAAATATATAATAATAATAACATGATACCTATATAACATCATTTTTTACTTAATTTTCAATTCATGACAGCTGCCAAATACACACAATTGGTGCATTTTCGATCGATATGGTAATCAATGATAAGTAATAACATGACAATATTGTTATAATAAAAATATATAAATAATTATAAATATATACTGGGTGATTCTGTTATCAAACAACACTCATTATTTCAAAAAGTGTAAATTTTTTTGAAGATATTTTTTTACATAGTTTCAAGTCACTTATAAAACAACGTTTATATTAAAAAATTATTTTTTTAATTATTTTTTATCCTTATAATTTTTTAAGTTTTTTACTTTTTTGAATGACAACATAGGGTTTTAATCTTATATTCTAAAGTAGAATATTTTTCTTAGTATTTTGATACATGAAAATTGAATTTGATTAAAACCCTATGTTGTCATTCAAAAAAGTAAAAAACTTAAAAAATTATAAGGATAAAAAATAATTAAAAAAATAATTTTTTAATATAAACGTTGTTTTATAAGTGACTTGAAACTATGTAAAAAAATTTACACTTTTTGAAATAATGAGTGTTGTTTGATAAAAGAATCACCCGGTATATATATTATTGTATAATGTGTACAGAAGAGTTCGTCCGTTGTTATTTTGTACCACTTTTGATTTCTAACGATTTCTATGATTATTATGTATTATTAGTATACGTTACGAATTTATGATAAGCTATAATTATTTCAGAACTAAAACGCCAGAAAACTATGGTAGATATTCGTTGATAAAAATATGCGTTGATATTATATTCATTTACCATTTTATATTGTAAGTAAACGTTATTATTTTTAATTTGGTGTAACTTTTTTATTTTTTATATATTTACAATCTATACAAAATTATGTACAATGGGCAAATTTGATAGTTAATATAATGTGAAATAACAGATTTTAACATTTAAGGGCAGGCACTCAGCAGCACCACCCGACCGAGAACATTTTGATGTCGTGGTTTTTTTATTTTTTTTTTTATTTTAGTAGGTCTCTAGGCCACCGTCTTTTGAGTCTTCTACGTAATTTGGTGTTACTTAAAAATGAAAATTTAGATCAACCGGTAATTGGAAAAATATACTTTGAGGAAGACGTGCTGCATTTTGTGTAAAGGAATTACCGTGAGATTATCGATTGGAAGTGTTTTTAATGAACTATTGGAATTTGATTTCTTGAAAAAAATAATATAAAAACATTGCACTGTATACATTATGGTATTGTTTAAAATCATATACCTACGCATATAACGTATACCTTACATTATGTTAGGTTAGCGTTAGGCTAACGCCGTATAATGTGCACTTTGTTTATACCTCTCCGGGGACTTAGTAATAATATTCTAACGTTCCCGGGACCAAACATATATTATTTTTCAAAACGAAATTGGCTATGGAAAATCATAACTTACATTTTTAAATACTTTACAGAGTTTATTTATGCCAATAAAACCGTATTCGTGCACGCGGCATAATAACAGCACGTAGGAGATTATAATATGTTTATAGGTATCCATTTCGGTTTGTATATAATATACACACTATACAATATGTTTTTAATAATCTTATAAATTTATTTCAGATTTCGCTTCATAAATTCTTATCCTCACTTTTCTTACCGCGGTATAAAAAGTTATGTCCCTATCGGCTATCTCTGCAGTACCGTATACCTAACCTAATCTACAGTGGCGTACCCAGGATTTTAGAACTGTGGGTCTGCCTTACTTACGAGAGGCCACTGTGTAGAAACTTCAACCAACTACCTATATAGTTAGGTATTACAAAGTCACTCTGGGCTCGCGATTTACCTTATTAGTTATTTACATCACATTTTGATACCAACGTTCAATA